TGCAGCTTGGGGTTTGGGCTTGTTGGAAGTGAGGAGGATTCATCTGAGATCACCACCGTTTCGGGCTGTTGATTGGGCGAGAACCGATAACCAACGGAAAGAGTGGCGATCGCTGTGCGAGCGCCTGCAAGTAGGGCACGGCTTGCTATTCTACCGTACTGACTAGCAAAACAATCGAATATCACTGTTAATTGGTTGTCATCCGCAGAAGGCAAGCATTCAAGGAAACTCAACCCCACACCCCACACCCTGCCAAAGCCTTCCGCGGCCACGACCAAGCCGGCCGCTAAAGCTTCCGTCATTGCCTTGGCCTCCTTGGTGATATTCTGGGGCTTCGGGGTTTAGGGTTGAGAGCCTTCGACACCAAGGCAGAGAACCATCGCCTTCCTTCCGGATGCAGGGCACCCTCAACCCGAAAGCCTAGACCCTAAACCCTAAAGCCTAAACGTTGACCGTTGTTCTCAGCCTTCCCCGATGTTTACGAATGTCTCCCCGCAATCTGGGCTTCAAGTCCGAGCTCCTGAGGGGTACTGTAGATTCGCTGTAGACCCTGTTTCATGGTTTAGGGTTTAGGGCTCCTTCTAAGGGCCAGGAGCCCTTTAAAGGCCAGGATCCCGATGATAATCCTTATTCGCCTTATTCATGGGAGACAGGGCTTCTTAATCAGGGGGTCTCAGCTTTCTGGAGGTGGTGCGGAAATTGGCTCCCTGCAGTGTCTGGGAATGCAAAAATTCCTGCAACTTAGACCCTAGACGGTCTTGGCTTTATTATGCAGGGTTTGGGGAGTTTAGGGTCCAGGGTAGAGGTGTAGTAACCGCTTGGGGTATCCGGCAGATGATAAAGAGCTTCTTGGCGAAACGGAAATCCTACCCGTCCTACCCCTCGTGCGAAGAACTTCGGACGGCAACTGCTACCATCACCACTCGACTAGAGCACCACTACTACCACCACTATCACCACCACACTTCCACCCCTCTTCGCAACCCACGTCGACGTGGTTTCAGGCCAGGGTCCACGTGCGGTCCGCTGAGCAAGGCTCCGGCCACACACCTCATGACCTCGGCAGTCGAAGCCAAACTCAACGAAATTTTCGGGACAGCCGGATGCAAACTGACCCAAACTCTGCACAGCCGAACCACCAAGGAAAAGCTCCCTAAACTCTAAACTTTCAACTTTCAACCCACGAACCCTGAACCCTAAATCCCTAACCTAAAGCTAAAAACCCCAAAACCCTAAAGACCAAAGCTCAAAACCCCCAAACCCTAAACCCCCAAAACGGGCCCAAAGCCGACAAGGACAAGCGCTGCCTGGAGCTGCATTTCCACGGCATCCACGCCGAAAGACTCAAGGCTAGCCTGTCGGCTACAGGGAGGGCTCAAGTGCGGTGCTTAGGGTTTTAGGGTTTAGGGTTTTAAGGCTTCTAGAGCATTAGGGTTTACTGTAGGGGTTTAGGAGTTTCAGGCTTTTTTTTAGGGCGGCCCTGCGTGCTCGGTGCGTCCCGGTTTGGCGCCAACTCGAAAGACGATTTCCGCAACTGTCGGTGCACTAGCACATACTTCCAATGAGGCCCTGTTAGGGTTGCGGTGTGGTTCCAGCAATCTGGGAATAGGCGCTTAGTCTGTACTTATATTCAATAGGGGAATTGCATGCCTCTTCTCCTACCTTGGTATAGGATGCGGTCATTAAAGGAGCTTGCGAAGACTGCTGAGTGCATTGGGTCTGAAGGGGGTTCCTGGAAGATTTGTACTGTGGTTTTATACTGTGCGTAAAGATGTGTGGTCGAGGGCTTCTCAGGGGTGTTGGCTTTTCAGTTTCAGGCTTTAAGGTTTAGGGGTTTAGGGGCTTAGGGGTTTAGGGTTTGCGGTTAAAGGGTTTAGGGTTCGGGTTTAATTAGGGTTTAGCTTTTAGGGCTTAGGGTGCCAGCTATCTGGTTGCCTTTTGTTGGGCGGTGGGGCATAGGTGCTCATAAGGGTGTCTGCACCCGGATGTGTGTCTCGGGGGCATGCTTTGGGCAGCTATGTTTCGGGGTATGGGTCGCGAAGCTGTATGAAGGCCACCGATTTCCGAAAAGCGCTCGAAACCGGCAGGAGACGAAGTGTCGTGTTTCGCAGTTGCCCCGCGGTCCTCAGGTAACAATGAGTTCCCCTCAAAACGCCTGGATGCGAGGGCACAGACTTTGGTACCCTCATCAGCCCCCTAGGCCGCCCCCCCTAAGTGCCGCCCAACCCCCCCCCCTGGTTTCAAGGTTTGGAATCGCACCCCAACCCCTAAAATCCCTGATGCTCGGATGTTAAAACCCCAGAACCCTTGTAGAACCCCTAAACCCTAAACCCTAAACTTCTAAGAACCCCGCACGCTCTGCGAGGCCTTAGCATCCCGAAGCCGGGCTCCGACGAAGCGCACCGCACGCAGCGCGGAGGGCAAAGGCGTGGGCTGGGAGCCTGGGATTTTGAGGTTACCGGGTTCCGATTTAGGCTTCAGGTTTTAGGGTTCAGGCCTTGGGGTTTAGGGTTTATTCACAAGGGCCCCCTGTGGTGAAAGCTTAACAAAGAAGCCGGCTGCCCCAAGATGCAGGGGCAGCCCCTAAACCATAAACCCTCAGCCCCTAAACCCTAAACCCCTAAACACTCAACCCTGAACCCCCAAACCCCTAAACCCTAAACCCCTAAACCCTGAACCCTAAACCCTCAACCCCAAAGCCCTAAACCCCAATAGCCTGCTCAGGCTTGAGGTTCTCCGAGTTCCTTTCGGCCAGGGCGCTGTCGCCGGCTCCCGGGGCATACATCCGAGTCGCGAAGAATGCCTCGCCACTTTTCAGGTTTAGGGTAACTTACCCAGAAAGTCCCCATCTCTACTACTACTGCAGCACAGGCCAAGAAAAGGAAGCAAAATTTTGCTAGCGCAATGCGGCAAGATTGAGCAGAGCCTAGAGGCCTACCCATCTACTTATGTAGCTCTAAACATTCCGAAACCGAGAGCAATACAAGAAGGAATTCATGATCGATGCGATGACAACTTGCAAGCCTAAACCCGCCCCCAAGAGGCCTCCAAATCCTAAACCCCAAAGCCCCAAACTATCTGAAGAGACCCTGAACGCTAAACCCTAAGCCCATGAATACCCCTAAGAAAGCGTAGGCCCTGAAGCACATCTGACCTCTGCGGCGGCGACCAGGAGTCCGGCATGGAAGCGCGACAGCGTCCTGAGACTGAACCCACACGGCCTAGGGTTATTTTTAAGTGCAGTAGACCCTTGACTCCAAAAGCAGCACGAGTCTAGGTTTAGGATGTAGAGTTTACGGTTTAGGGCTCTAAAAAACCTCGAACCTAGACTACATTCAACTTAGGGTACCGTTATCAAGGTCCTTCTTATGAGGAACCTAATATTTTGGGCTCATAACAGGTTCCCCTACTTTCTGCGCTGGCCCTGAAAGCGAAAAGAGCTTTTGAAGACAGACGTGCTAGACGGGTATAATCAAATATAGTACAAAACACATTTCAATGCCATCGAATATACTATCATATACCATGTTACAATACAGAGCAATACAATGTGACATAATATCGTATAATATAACGAAACAGAGATGTAGTATGATATGTCATGATCGAATATGGTATGACACCATATGATATGGTAAGATAGGATATGGTATGATATGTGCTAAGATGGGACAACATGTAACAAGATACATGTGATACAGTATCTAATCTAACAAACAGTATCATACAATATCGCTCAATGGCATATAAGATCATGTCCTACCGTCCCATATGATAAGATATAGTATGTATCCATATATGTATACATATACATATACATACATATACATATATATATATATATACATGTGTGTATATCTACACATGATATACTGTAGGAAATGTCAAACATTATAGTATGATCCATCAAAATGTAACATAACAACATACCATGTCATGCCATGCGACATCATGTAAGAAAGTACGATATGTTTCAATATAGCATAGTATACCAACAAAGTGAGTACAAAAGAATACAGCACAAAATCATTTAATGAAGGCAATACATTAACACAATGCGACAAAGTTTAAGACAATCGGACGATTTATAGCAAAATCACAAAATACGATACAATTTGAATGCAACAACGTAGGAAAATCGCACAAAAAAGGGGAGAAAAAACTGATCTTGACATAACATAGTAGAAAAGAACAGAATGGAACGGACTGTAAGATAGTATAGTAAAGTCCGGCATAATGCCATATAACATCATTGAATGCCAATTCAACAGCCCTCCATCATAACATGAAGCATGGTAATGATCATAACATAGTGTGGGGCTTCTGGGAACTGACCTGCCGGCGCCCTCAAACCAGCTCCTCCTAGGTCCAATATCCAAGCCCTCACGCCAAAAAGATGAAAAACACAAAACAAAGATGCCTGGAGACAAGGGAGTCCTCATCATCCAGGTTTCAATTTGAGGGTTTAGGATTTCGGGATTAGGGTTTACGAGTTTGGGGTTTAGGGCTTAGCTGATATAGCTATACACCATGCCAAGAATGTTATTCTGATTGCACCGAGCCCTTTCGTAGTGTAGGAGCCTCAATATTTAATCAGAATAGGGTTGTCGGGGATATAACGGTATCATAAATGTAGCCATACAATGACTGTAAGGGGATAGTATGACTATATAATGTACTTATTCCGGCCCCTTTGTAGTGCAGCAACGCGGCGGCAGCGTGACAAAGAAGCGCACCAGGCGGGCGGACAGCACTGCTCTGTCCTCCGAAGAACAGAGAAGCCGGGGCTCGGGCTTCCAGTCAGTATAGCTGCCAATATTATGGTTCAGGGTTTAGGGTTAAGGTTTATGTTATGGTTTGGGGTTTAGGGTTTAGGGTTTAGGGTTTATATTGTTTGGATCAGGCCTTGGGATATGCTATGCAAACCACAAACTTACGGTGCCCTAACAAATACTGTTGGTAGTGTTTTATGCCCCTAAATTAGGCTTCTATTCCCAGGCCTCTGCAGCCTTGCCGGCGTCTGCTGACTCCTGAAACGTGCATATCTGGGCAGTTGCGCGGTCCTAAGCGAGGGTTCTCTGCATGACTTCCCTCCGATACGAACAACGGAAAGTTGATTCTGTCAAGGACAGGATGCTACTTGTGACTAGTGCGGCAGGACCAGCAGCAAAGAAAGCCATCAAGAGGCATGATAACAGCAGCAGTATCTCAGTATGCGGAGAGTGTGACATACCACCACAACCGCCGCCACCAGCAGGACAATGACCGAAGACGACACGGCACCACGACAGCAACTCTACTTGCAGCTATCAACTTCTGCTTTTACTATCACCACCACCAGCACCACCAGCACCACCACCACTGCCATCGCTGCCATTGAACCATGCAGTCTGACGCCTTTTGCCCCATCCTCGTCGTCCATAGAGTCGTCCTCTGCGTCGCGCTCTGTCTGCGGTGCTGGGAGGCCCAAGGCCAGGTAAGCCTCACGAGCGAAGAGAAAAGACTCGAAGGCTCGAAGATTAAAGTAGGCTTTTGGGGGTGGCGGACTGCGTATATCATTACGATACTGCCTCTACTATTTTTTGATAAGGAACCCCTTTGCATTAGAATTCCCCTGCCAAGCCCACCTTCTCCGGCGCCGGAGCTGCCGCAGCCGCTTTGGCCACTGCGCCAACGGCGCGCACGGGCGGCGCCGATCCAGAGACCTTCCGCGGTATGGAGCGGGGGTTTAGGGTACGGTGTGGAGCGTTTTACGGCTTAGGGGTTGGGGTTTAGGTTCAAAAGTTATGTGGCTCATCCCCTTGATGACATAAACCTGGGAGCCTGCAGATTGCGGACAATCTTAGTAAACAAGATGGTTCATAGAGGTTTGGTTTAAGTAGCTTTCTGGGGTTTATAGCGCTTGGAAGGCCTTTAAGGGTTCAGTGTGGGGGCCGTAAGGCTTTTGAAATACATGATTGTGTACGCAAAAAGGGACCATAAGGGGATTAGACTCATTAGACTCTAGACAGGACTATATTCAAACAACTAGAGACAGCCATCGAACCCTGAAAACTGAAAACTTATCAAACGATCACGCACTCGAACCCAAAGTGGAACACTGGGCAATGTCTGCATCCGAAGATGGGATATTTTGCAGGGCTCTATGCTAGCCACCGCAGCAGAAGCTGTGCTCAGAATGCTGGGCAATACTTGCTTGGAACATGTTGGAGGTTTGGGGCGGGGTGTAGCATGAGATTTCACCAGTACCGAACACCACTCTAAACCCCACAATATTGAGCCACGAAGCCTAAAGCAGGCTATGCCTGTCCTAAATCCCTAAACATCCCTAAACCAGAAACCCTAAGCCCTGAGCTCAAAAGCCATTCCTGCGTACTCCGAAAGCCTCCGAGACGGAGTTTAGGGTGTGGGGTGGCCTTAACCTTCTCGGCGGTAGGGTTTAGGTCAGGGGTTTACGGTCCAATTGGGGTACTGTAAACTTGCAGGGTCAGGGTGTAGGATTTAGGGGTTAGGGCTCACCATCGACGAGCCCGGATCCTACCCCCCGCCTCACGCAAGAGCCGCCCCAGCAGCCATGCAGCCGCAGCGCCTCTAAACTCAAACCCCAAACCGTAAACCCCTAAACCCTAAACGTCGGCTAAACGTCGGCTGCGAGGCAGTGGGAGCTTTGGAGGATCGAGAGTTTGGGGTTTGGGGATCACAGGGGTGTCAGGGGGTGTGGCTTTGGGCTTAGAGTCTGGTTTGAGGGTTTAGAGCTATAGGTTCCGGGCTTAGTAGGCTTAGCAGATCCTGCTAGGGATTGGGGTCAAGACTTCATGAATGATGCGGTTGAAGGCTTATGGGGTTTAGGGATTCTAGTACCCCTATAGTACCCTTACAGTACCCCTGCAGAAGTCTTATAGTATCCCGTATAGTACCCTCATGGTACCCTTGTGGACCCTGAACCCTAAACCCTAAGCCCTAAACCCTTAACCCTTAACCATATGTTTAGGAACAATAGCCCATAGCCCAAATTCGGCCCTTCCGCTCAATAGGACTGCAGGGCTCCCTTCGGCTCGCTGATGCTGGACGGCAAAGACTTACATACCATGCCTCACATCCCCTGTACCTTACTAATAAGGTACGTTATAGTATAGTACATTATAGTATATGTTATAACAAGTTACAAATATACTTTGCCATATTATAGTTTTGTAGTACAATATCGTATAGTATAGTACAGTATAGAATAGTATATTATAGTATCGTATCTAGCCTGAGTAGGTAAGCGTGCCCAGGCTGACCGGACCACAACAGGTTTGGGATTGAAGGCTTGAACCCAGACCTTGGCAGGCCGCAAGGCTGGGTTCAGGGCTCAGGGCTTAGGGCATTATAAGGTTTAGGGTAGGGCTTAGGGTAAACCCTAAACCCTAAACTCTAAACCCTGAAAAGCCCTAAACCTAAAAGCAACCCTAAATGCCGAAACCCGGAATCCCCCACTCAACTTTCCCGCAACGCACCGGCGCCACCTTCCGCGATCCCCCAGAGAAGCAGGCTGCAGCAACGATCCTGCAAGCAAGGGGCGCTGCTCCCTAACCAACCAGCGAAACACTGAACCTGCAGTGTTTGCATGTGGTGCTCCATAGTGGGCCCAAAAGGATCCTTGCCACAGTATAGAAGATGTATACGAACACAGCGTAGTACGGCTTAGTGCAGATTCGCACAGTTTATCTAGGGTCCGTTCTAAGGAAGTAACCCGAAGCTAGACGAATCGACGCACAACTCCGAATGTGATTCTCTACACCCTAAAACGCAACCCTCACCTGAGCCCGACACCAAAAGCAGGTTGCGGACGCGACTCGCCGACTGAAGAGAGTCCAACATGCGCAGAGTCCTTTACGGCTTTGCGTTTGGGGCTCAGGGTCTTTGTGGCTTGGGGTCTTGGGGGTGGGCTTTAGGGCTTCGGGGGCTTACTGCTTACTTGGCCTATAAGGCTTCGCTGCGTGGAGCCTGGGCCCAAGCTGACAGCTTGCAATATAAGCCCCCCTTTACGGCCTAAGTATATACTATATAGGTGCATGGAGCCTTTAGTTTCTAGGTGGCCCTATCCCAGTATAAACAAAGGATTTGTTCAGCACTGGCGCTCGTCGGACACGCGATGCCTCAGTGCTGTTACTCCCGCCAGCTGCAGGTTAGATTGTGAAACGCTGTTTTAAACAGCAACAGCATTTCTTTTTCCGCGGTGACATCAGCAAGTCACCGAACAAAAGAGCCGACAGAAACAATTGTTTGTGGCATTCCGCAACCAACTGATTATGGCTTTCACGGCCACACCAACCTAACCGCCACCCTGGCCAACCATCAAATTGGGCGCCAGGCCTTGCGCACCTGCTGTAGCTTCGCGCATCGCCGCAGCGCAATGTCGCGGAAGTCCTCGTTGAAATTGACTATGGAATTTGTATCCATGTGCTCTTTTGGTGGGAGCTCGTTGGAAAGGAGTTCCAAATTCAGTGCTGATTCCTGACAGGGCGCCCGTCGTGGCAGCCTGCCCGGCCGTGCTTTGACCAATATTTCACCATCATCGCCGGGACCCATCCCCAGCGCTAAACACAGCGGGCCCGCGTCACTCGACCCCGGCCTCCACGTAAGAAGGCCCAGGAGCATGACCGCACTGGCCATCTCGACATCGGCTTCCCACAACTGCTTCAGCTCATCCTTCGGAACATGCAAACATCTGACTGAGTCTTTTTCACGGAGAACTGAGACGTCGACTGCAACTTCCACACGCGATGCCAAAGTCGTTGCTGCCTCCACGAGCCCAGCTGCAAGCATGGGCTCCGTCGTGGTTGCCTCGACCGTGGTTGTTGCAGAAGTTGCGGCACACCTGGCTTCGTGTTGCCGGAGGCTCCAGCCAAACCCCTGCACCCCAAATATTCCGACGTTCATGCTGCAATGACGACAGCGCGCTCAAGAGCAGGGGGCCATGGCATGGGCTCGTATCGCTGACAAGGCCGCGCGCGGAAGTGGGAGGCAACTCCTGAGGCTTCACGCCGCAATGACGAGTAGGGTCTGGGTGTTGGTGCCTAAATCTTCAACCACGTGTTCTATATTGTTAAAGGTTTTGGGGTTTGGGTTTCGGGGTTTCGGGTTTAGGGGCTGTAGCAGTAGCATATAACTCTAACCCCAGACCTTGAACCGTGTTTAGGTCCCGGGTTTCTCTGTGCCTATATGCGCCAGGTGAACCCTTCAGCCCATAGATCCTCAAGCCATCAAGTCCAAGCCCTCGGCGTGACCTAAACCCTAGACCCTAAGGCCCTAAACCCTGAACCCTAGACTCTAAACCCCGAACCCGAAACCCCAAACCCCTAAACCTCAAACCCGAAACCCAAGATCCCAAACCCCAAACCCTAGATCCCAAACCCCACACCCTAAATCTTGGACCCTAAACCCCAAACCCTGAACCCCTAACCTCCAAACCGTAAACCGTGCCCCTCGGAGGGCAAATTCCTTGCAAGGGTGGCTGTGGCATCCGCGCGCCGGTCGCGGAGAGCCTCCCCAGGCCGTTCCGTTCTCGGGGGCCGTCGAGCGCTATTAAGCTTTAGTGATTTAGGTTAAGGCTTTAGTGATTAGGGTTCACGGTTAAGTGATCAGAGTTTAGGGTTTAGTGACCAGGTGTTAGGGTTTAGTGACTAGGGTTTAGGGTTTAGTGATTAGGGTTCAGGGCTTGGGGGTCTAAGGCGGTAGGGTTCAGAAACTTAATCGTAGCCCCCGTGAATTCCTATACAGGTCATATTCAAATATACCACCAGGTCAACACGACCGGCCCCGAGGCACGCTGCTTGCGCACCTCAAAGTCAAACGCCTTTATTACTAATACTAATACTACTACTATTACTATTACTATTACTATTACTATTACTATTACTATTACTATTACTATTACTGTTACTGTTACTATTACTGTTACT